AACTTTTCAGCGTTTGCTATTTTGCATGGAAAATAAAGGACCCACAAAATAATTAATCACCGTAATAGACGGAAGAGCCTGGAACTGGATAGCATCGACAATAATACGGAGTAACAGTAGTTCATAGTAATGTTTATTAGAAGAACATGTTGTTTTACTGTATGGACGTATCATATTGTCCTGTAAAATAAAAAATTTTAAAATGAAAAGGGCGGGATTTACCTCTCATTTAAATGTTTATGATTTATAATTTAAATTGTTTAAAATCGAAAATTATTTTTCATTACTAGAATATGATTTGTTAATGTTTATTTTATTTTATAATTTAAAATGTATTGAATTATATAATACTTATCATGAAAATAATAATAAGTAAAGAATCCTTACTTAAGTAGTTAAGAGGAAGTCCCTTGCATCCATTTGTGAATTTGTTAGCATTAACCTATGAATAGATTTCTTTATGGTTCAATTTGTAAAAGAATTAATCTTGAAGTAGTATTTTAAAATTTTATAATAATAAAAGTGGGTTGTAAAGAATTTTAATACTTTTGTAATCCAGCTAGCACTGGATTTCATAATACATTTTTGCACAAGCAGCATTGACAAAAAGGCAAAATTGTCTTTGACCAGTTGCAATTCGAGGCTATTTATGTTACTACAAATTAATGATGCTCCTTTTTTTTGTTGAATGGATTTATTTGTACCCAAGTAAAACTTGCAAAGTGCTAAGCTTACAAAGTGTCCTGCCATGGAAGAAATGAAAGGAGGTGAAAAATTAAAGCAGGCAAAGGAATACTGCAATAAATGCCGGGCTTGCTCATGCAGCAGGAATGTACTCTCCTTATCCATATTCTGCTCCAAAGCACCAACTCCTCCAGCTTTCTAATTAACTTGGAGTAATTCTCATCGACAATTCAATGCAACTAAATCTATTCTGTCTGTACCCATTAAAAACACGAGAAAAAGTTAAAGTGAAAGACGTGTTACTTTTTTAAATATATATATTATATAATTTAGATGGTATATTACATTGCTTTAAACAGAAATTATTAAATAATAATAGAACAGCTCCTAATATTAAGCCTCTAATATTAAAAAATGTCTTTTTATTTAATAATTGTTATTTTATAATTTAATACAGTTTAAATTATAAAATATAAATATTTATTAAAATATTAAAATTTATTGTAAAATTATTTAAATATTTTTAATATATATTTTTATTAATTCATTAAAAAATAAAAACATTTTTGTGAGGCCATGTTGTTATATTTTGTTAACATAGTAGTGATAGAACTCTCCAAAAGTAACTTAATTGTCTAAGAGTTAAAAATTTTAAACTAAATATTTTGAGTTTAATCTTTGAGTCCAAAAAGAGAGAGATTTAAGGAAAAAAAGAAAAAAGAAAATAAGGACTAGGAACTTAAAAAAAACATGGTAGTGATAGGCAATAAATTATTTTCAATTAAAAAAAATACCAATTCTGGATTTTTTTATTGGCCCCTCACATTATTTTTTTTTATAAAAATAATAATTAATAAGTTATTATTGTTAGATGTTAGGAATTAAAAATTCAATTTCGAAATTTGATTCCCTCACATTAATTCTTGTGCCAATGCATTTTGTTTAATGCATTATTAAATTTAATAGTCTTTGTTTTCATATCCGTCGTAGATTCAATGAAAAGTCAAAAGAATTAAAGTAGAACCGGCCAAGACATTTGCATGAAAAATGGAAGTTTCACCAGAAAGCCATAAACCCTACATTGAATAAATACATGTACATTAGTACATTAATTAACCTAAGATTTAACAAAATCAATCCTGATTTTATTTTATTTTTTTTAATAATGATTATTACTATCTTCCAATTCACGAAACTCTGAAGCTCGTCGATCTTCGACAAAACAGAGCCTCCCAAATCTGAGCGAAAGCCTGAATGATTACACCGTGGTGGTGCCTGGAATTCAACGACAAGAAGCATTGCAGCAGCTGCTCCAGGTCCTTCTCTTCGAACATCTGCTTCTCCAAGATCATCTCCATCATTGACCTCTTGAAATCCTCGAATGGATCCTCCGACCTCTTCACCACCGCAAAACTTTCCCTCACCTTCCCTTCCACTGCGCACGGTATCATCCTCTGCAAAAACATCGACAACCTCGCCGGTGACTCGCTCTCCGATGTCGACGACAGTCTCGCGCTCATCTCCTTCACAATGCACCGTCTCACCGACCTCTTGTTTCTCTTCTTTTTATGCTGCCTGGAACTGGAATCAGTTGAGATGCTTCTAGATGGCGAGACTAAGCTTTCCGTTTCTTCTTCGTCGTCGAAGCTTTCGCTGCTGAAAATGCCGCTATCGCCGGATGAAGTACTGACGCGAATCTTGGTTGTGGTTTTCTTCTTTCTGTGACGCCGCTTTTTCTTCCTCTCCGTGTTAGGAGGCGGTGGAGGTGGTAAAACATCGTCGGCGTCGGAACCTTCTGCGATTTTGGCGCGAGGAGTTTCGTTTTCTTGGACTTTAGCTATCACGTGCCATTTGTGATTTTTTTCCCAGTGAAATTCCGGCGTGGGAGGAGGTGGTGATTCGGTGTAGTCCGTATCAGATAAGTACTGTGCGCTGGATCTTGGGCCCAAGCCGCAGCCCATGGATGAAAAGGCGTAGGAGACATGGCGTTTTAAGGAGTAACGAGGCTTGGAGGAAGTTGGCAGAGGAAGCGGTGGTGGTGGTGGTTGCGGAGGCATATGGAGGGTGATAGGGTTTGGGTTGGCCGGAGAAAGTCTGAGGAAGGAAGGGACAGGATTGGAGGGGAGAGTTGAAGGATGATCTCTTGATGAACGGCAAGATTGGAAGGCGAAGACTCGAGAAATCTTGAGCTTGAAACGCTTCGCCATTTGTCCCCAGGAGTAGGTGTACTAAACCATAAAAGTTTGTTTGGAAAAAGCTGGGGTTATATAGGGGCAGGGGATGTGGTGTTACCGTGTTAGGAAGATCTAAGGACCATTATTTCCTAACCTACTAAAGCTGAGGAAGAAATGAATGTAAAACTACAGCTATTCATTAAAAAAAAAAAAAAACAAAGAGAGAGAGAGAAAAGAGAAAAGCATTATGATTTGTATCTATGACCTTTGAAGTTTGAACATATTCACTACATTTTTGGCCTCATGACAATTTTCTTTTCTTCAACTTCAATTCACTTTCTTCTCGGTGTGTTTTGCATCCTATGAAGGATGGACCTTTCATATTGATATTAGAATATTCACACATAACCACCTTTATGTGGTACTCATAATGATTAAATATGTGGATAAATAAAATAAGAAATAAATTTTTTTTTGTTTGAATGTTTAAAAATGATTTTAAAATTTTATTTTTACATTAACTTGATTTCAAATTTTTAATTTTAAACTTAAATTACAATATAGTTTTTATAAATGAATCCAACTATTGAAGTTAATTGAATTACCACACTCAAATTAAAATTCTTTTATTATTGATTAATTAAACTTTGGTTAAACTTAATTTTTTTCATAATTTGTAACTTTGTAATTTGTAACTCAATGGAAAAAGTTAATCTTTTTTATAGGAATATTAATTATTTTTCATTTTTCAGCCTTTTTGTTTGTTCTTTTTTCTCTTTTTACATGAATGAAATGAGCTTCATCGTTGTCTTAGGGAGTTGGCAGAAGAACATATATATATATATATATGTATGTATATATATATATATATATAACTGAAGAGACGGTGATTGTCCCCCCGATAGAGAGCGGTGGTGCTTCGCCTTTTCTTCAATAAGTTTTGGAGGGAAAGTAAAAGTGGAATGGAGCGGAGCCGCCTTCCCAAGGGAGCTGCCGCAGATCCCATCAGACACCTGTAATGATGACGGAGAGATCGATCCAGGTGAATCCGACCGTACCCTGACGTATCCTTATTCATCACCATTTTTAAAACTCACACCAATCCTGCATGGTATGCTATACAAATCATGCGCCCGAGAAGCCCTCTATCTTGTTTTCAACTCCTATACCTGATGCCCTCTACTAGTCTACTCTACTGACTACTGTTTTGTACCATTAACGCAAATCTGGTACGATTCTCTTGTTGCTAATAAGTCAATGATGTCCCGACAAAATTCGGATCTAAAGGTTGGATAAAACGTTTTAGATCGGATCCTATAATTTCAATTTCCAAAACAAGGAGAATCCAAAGGAGTTATTGCGGACCCAAACATGTTCTTAAACTGTTTCGTCTCTATGAAGAATGTTAAACAATTTTAACCTTGATTTATGTAAATTGGTAGGTGTCTTAGCTAGCTTCTACTAACTTGTTAAATTGTTATATACCGATTATGTTGGCTGGTGGCATGGTACAACGACTGAATGGAAGACCGGCCTCTCCTTCGTGGCAGTATAATTAGACCATAGTCATCCAAAGTGGAAAGTGAAAAGGAAGTTATCTTTTCTACTGTAGTAGGGATATGTGTAAATAAAACCTGGGGGTGGGAGTATAGTAGAGTCTAGGGGAGGTGTCAATCCAAAGAAGCTCCACATGGTGGGGATCCAAGGAAACAAAATCATATAATGACTCCTTTTTTCTTGGTCCATTCAAGGGGACAGCAACACACATTTTGGCAAAGCAAAATAAAGTTTCTTTTTCCACTCAAGTGCCTAAAACATGGTGGCCCTCTGTCCCCGGGCTCTTTTCCAGTCAATCAGATCACAGATGGCTCTTGGAATTTCGAACTTTAGTACTTTACATCAAAGGCTCAAACCCAAAAGAAAAGCATATTTGGTTGGGTTGTGCTTTTACATGGCCTGCCATCCTGGCCCATCCAAAATCCAACCTTATGTTTGATATGGGCCTTGGCCATAACCCTAAGGATATATGTAAATTTGATTTTTGATCTATAAATTTAAGTAAATGCAAAATTTAAGCTTAAAATCTCAAAATTAAAGCCAGTCTTCCAAAGAAATTGGAATTGAATGAAGCTAAAAATGGAAACTTCTACTATAAAAATAAACCACATGATATCCTACAAGCAAGGACAGCCTTTTAGGCAAATCTCACCTGTCATTTCCTCCACATATCTCCTCTTTCTCTCTTTGGGGAGAATGCTTGGAGGGGAGAAAGATAATAAGGCTTTGACCCCCAAACTTCTCTCTTTCTTTTGCACTTCTAACCAACTCATCTCTGATCTCTTCATCATCTAATCTAATTCTTTCTCGCCAATTTTTGTTGAGTTAGATGAGGAAGCTTTGTCCAAATGCTGATAAGGAAGATGGCCTTGAGACAGTTCTCGAGATCCCGATACCAGAAGAGATGTTCACAGGCATGGGCAGCAACATTCAACTGCGTTTGCAAAACATGGCAGCATGGATGAAGGCCCAAACTTCAGATAAGTGGTCGCAGCCGGCCATTGCTGGACGTATCAACGAGCTACGCTTTCTTCTTTATCTTGTGGGTTCTCCTCTTATCCCTCTTCAGGTGCAGCTTGGCCACTCTGTTTACAAGACGGTGAAAGATAGTTCCATTGTAAGGATATTGAGTTTCTCTATCTCAAACACTTTTTAACCATTCCTGAGTACTCCTGAGTGCAGTTTCTTTCCTTTACTTTCATTTCTTGCTTGCTGATGAAGATTCCATCCCTGGCTCTATTAGTTTGCTAAGGATTAGCCTTCCTCAATTCCTTTAAATAACAGAGATAATTTCCTTTTCTTCCAGCAAGCTTCAACAGCAAAATATATTGTGCAACAGTACTTAGCAGCCACAGGGGGCATGCAGGCGGTGAATGCAGTGAACAGCATGTGTGTCACAGGTCAGGTGAAAATTACAGCATCAGAATTTCACCAAACTGACAACAACACTGATGTGAAGAGCAGCGAGGAAACAGGCGGCTTTGTTCTGTGGCAAAAGGATCCAGATTTATGGAGCTTAGAGATGGTGATATCAGGTTGCAAAGTCATCTGTGGAAGCAATGGGCAGCTTTCATGGAGGCATTCCTCTAATCAACAAACACCTGCCTCAAAGGGTCCTCCAAGACCCTTGCGCCGTTTTCTACAGGTATTTTTCTACTCATATGATCTATAATCTTTTCTTCTCTGGTATTCTTATCTCACACCTACTTGGCATCCACATCACTGAACAAGATGGATGATCTCTGCAGGGATTGGATCCAAGGTCTACGGCCAATTTATTTATAGACGCAACATGCATAGGAGAGAAAATTATAGGTGGAGAGGACTGTTTTATACTCAAGCTGGAGACAAGTCCAGCTATTCGTGAGGCACAAAGCGGACCAAACTTTGAGATAATCCACCATACCATATGGGGTTACTTCAGCCAGAGGTCTGGTTTACTGGTTCAGTTTGAGGACTCAAGGTTGTTGAGGATGAGAACCAAAGATGATGATGATGTCTTCTGGGAGACTAGCTCGGAATCAGTGATGGAAGATTACAAGTATGTTGATGGAGTTAATGTTGCACATAGTGGTAAGACTCGCGTAACAGTTTTTAGATATGGAGAGCAATCTGCAAACCACAAGAGGCAGATGGAAGAGAAATGGAAGATTGAAGATGCAGATTTTAACGTATGGGGTTTGTCAAAGGATCACTTTCTGCCACCTTCCGACCTGAAAAAAGATTGAAATAGATTAGAGCAGAGGATGATAGTATTTGCAATTTTTTTATTTTTCTACAAGAACACCAAAAGAATGTGTAAATATTAAAGAATCTTTGGTGAAACATTCTGATTAAGCTGCAGTATTGTACTGATCTTAATCTGCCCTTAATTAATCCATTTTTATAATGCAATTTTCCCACATAAGGCTTTTGTCTACCCATGGATAACCATGAAATTTTCCACATAATTTAAGAAAATGAGAGATAACCTTTAATATAAAGTTTGCATCCAACTTATAACCAACTATTAACCATTCTTATATTTTAACTCACATGTTCTTTATTATTATTTTTCCAATATGGAATTTTCCCGTTTAAGATGCAGTTCACTAAGGAATTAAGAGAATATCCCAATCAAAACCCTAGAACCCTATATATATATCATAATGCCTTCACAGATTCATTAACAGAACTTTCCAACCTAAACTGTTCTTTGCACAAGTAGCCGCAATTTTTCCTGTGTTGAGCTCGTTGGCTTTGTTGGGCTCAAATAGCTTCTACTCTTGCGACAAGCCGATATGAAATAAATCGTCGGGAAACCGGAAAACGGTAGAAACCGTGTCATTTTTCCGCCGGGGAAATCAACCGGCTGAGCAGGATCGTGGAAGAAGCTTCACGTACGTCTTTTCACCATCCACCTCTTAGAGATTTAATCGCGGTCGTCTCGTCGGTGTGCAACTTCATGCAAAAATTTCACCGGAAATAATGCCGTGAATTTCACGGCATTTAAAAGACAGACACCGCGCATCTGAACTCCGCCGTCGGATTGAGGTAGTTGGTTTTTGGACTTGCCGGTATAGATTTTTTGGACTGTAATTGGATACGAAATTTATCTGGACCGTAACGCTGCGCACTGCCGTGGCCCAATGGCCCATGGAGTTTCTTTCCATAGTGTTTCTCTCTCTTTTTAGATTGGGCTTTGGGCTAGATAATGTGGGCCTACACCTCAGAGGTTTGTCCCTTGAGATTACTTGCAAAGGGTGCAAGACCGCCGGCCGCCGGCGAGATCTACGATTGTCCATTTGGAAAAACCCAATGTATTACACATACTACCCCATTATGAAACCAAAAGTTTGTCCCATTCTTAGTGTCTTACTTCCTAAAATATATGCTTTACGTGCATAGTAGCTAGTAGTGTGCAACTTTTCTGCTAGAGCTCTTAGAAGCTCATTTTAGCTTGTAAAAAAGTTGAAACAACCATCGAAAAATATGTGTTGGGTGTTGGCCTGATTTGTGCTTACAGGTTGGAGAAGCTTCAATACTAAGTATGGTTTGTTTAGAATATAAATTTTTTTTTTAAAAAAAAAAGAGAAAAAAAGGAAGAGAAGGGGCCATGTATAAAGATCATGAAGAAATTTGAGAAAATAAAAAGCTCTCTACGTATTTTATCGATTTGAATATTGTTAAAAATAAGATTCTCAATGTATTTGAATCATCATGCTAGATCTTACAT